CCAATGAACCCAATCCACTGCGTCGGTGTGTTGTCGAAAACCATCGATAACCACTCCGCCTGTAAAATGAGTTCTGCAGCGCCATCAAAAGTTTGTATATCCATAAGGTCGATGCGGTTAGCGAGGATGCGCTCACAAAACTCAATATCCTCGAATGGGCCAATGTGAGCGTCATAGTGGAGGATAAGCTTGAGATATAGCCACCTAATCTCAAAGTCAAACTGCGTTCGCAACTCCCTGTCCTCCGCCCTATAAATGATACGAAGATCAATCCACTCTTGTTTTTTAGCTTGACAAAAGCTAAGCTTGAAGACCTACCTCGGGGCCGAATTTACAGAAAGATAAGTCTGCAGAGGATTCCTCATCGATCCACGATCAACTTCCAATTATTCTCCCGACGGGAACACGGCGACCAAGTCGTAAACCATGCAACCAACATGGTTCAAACTCATCTCATGCCTATGCACCCGCGCTACTCACTTTGCAACGGCCTCTCTGTTGAAAACAAGGCAATTACCACGACTCAGTCGTTATATGGGAAAGGACGTAAACTACATTTTTTTGAGTTATTCAACTATAAGGAGTCAATAGTAACCCCATCGAACCATAGCAGACGAGTCATACATACCTCATTCTCAATGAACTCCTTCTATCCACCCTTTTATCATTCTCTGATCGACGTTTCTTATGACGCGAACCTGTCGCGGTCGTCGCGCGTCCACGTTGAAAACTAGTTTTTTTTCAAGGTCGGTCTTCTTGTGTCACTAACCTCTCATTCCAATAGTGGCACCTAAGATGGCTACTGCGATGATTTTATGTCAACGCTTCGAAAAAAGACTAGGATTGATTATAGGTTTCACACTTGTTTCATACCATCCTAGTCGACCAACGTGCACTTCGTACTTGGGAGATCAGCGCCTAAGGACAAACGACGTTGGGTTCAGTAGGCGTTTTAACCAAGTGTACGTATGCTACAACGAAATGAGCAAACGTCCTGGGTTGACCTACCTCTGCGATTGCATGTAAAAACTTCCGTATATGAGTCAGCATCTCGGTAGGGATACGCCCCTAAAAGTGGTGACAACCCCTTAGGAAAGGCAAGTTGTGCCTCGCAGGAAACTATCCTTTCGTAGGGGACCGCAATAAGTACAATTGGCGCACCCACCTAAAACGGCAAAGTGACAACGTAATTGTGTTTGTCTCGACAGTTCGCGGGGTTACTTACTCATTATCTTCAAGCTGTTTTTTGTTGTGTTTTGTTTGACTCCTGCATGACATGGACAGGAGGGCTATCGCTTTTGCAAAAAAACGGGAGTCGATGCGCTTAACAACGAAATATATAGGTAGTGTAAAATAATAGGCCTAGTAGTAGAAGCAGTGAGAGACTAGTTAAGCGGTGGGATAATGCAAATTATAGAGAACTCTTTAGATGATTACGGTGGAGGTATGCGACTTAGGGTTTATACTTATAAGCTAAGCTAGATGATGCTTCCAATATGTTCGACGTTATGTTGTTTATGAGATTCCTCAATGTCGTTTCCACATTTGTAGTAAAATTTTAAAGTTGCATTAAAAAAAAAAAAAAAAAAACATAAAGAAGAAAATAAGATCGTGTATGGAATCAAATAAAACTTCAAGGGAATAAAGGAGGTGCAAAATAAAGGTGAATTGTCAATAATCCCTCATTTTTCTATAAATTTTAGCATACAAATAAAATTAGACTATGCGTTGAGATAAGAGAATTGGTAAGTAAGGGTGACGCTCGTGATAGCGACGACAAATGGGGGTTGGCAATAAGTCATGGTTAGTAGGAGTGCAGTAATTCCTACCATATTTTTACAATCATATAACAAAGATTATAGTAATATCTCTCATTATCCATCAATATTCTCAATTTTTTTTTATCGATGCATAATGTCGATTATCCTTGACATACCAAACAAGTATAAGGGTATAATTAAGCAGTGACAGTCATATATATTGCATTTTGCATTATATGTTTGTTTAGGGTTAGTAAGTTGTTGCAATGACAGTCCAGTGCTAGCATTAACACTAAGGCGTTAGTATCAAACGTTATATTTTTAGCAAGCAATTAAAAAGCGGGTGATCTCGTTGTCGAGCGGAAAGAGTCCTCTTGGTTCATTAAAGGTTGTTGCTTTATATGTTTCAGGTGACTCAGACGTTGGGCACATAGGCGTTCAATGGTGCCCACTTCATAAAGGCACTACCATACTCCTAACCATATCCATTCTAGGTCGATGATATGAATATTTGATTCATATTGGGAATTCTTTTGTGATTGAGGTGAGTTACCATGACGAACGATAGATCAAGTGAGAACAACTTAGGGGCGACATTTGAACACCTTAAAACAACAAATATAAAGTCGATCATATCGAATATTCTCTTGGTCATTGAAACATGCAACTTTATTGATTGTGTCTTATGTAGCACACCGAACATGTTCATAACTTTTCTGAACGTTCGAACATGTTCGGGTGTTCAGTCGAACACCTCCCGAACGTATTCGGCTGAACATATTAAAAAAATAATAGTAACAATAATAATTTTGAGTTTTTAATTTTTAACTCAAGTTTAGTTACGAATTTTAACATACCTCCGAGGTAAAAATTGTTTGTATTATTATTTTGCATTATATGTATTTTTTTTATATTTTATTCAAAAGTTTATTTGTTTGTTTGTTATTATTTTTATGTCCGAGTTCGGAAGGGTTTTGACGCTCGTTTGTGTTCGCTTGCGAACGTTCACGTTCCGTAACCGACCCCGAACACGATGCTACAAAGGTTGTGTCAATGATATATATAAACATAGTTTTACGGACGAGATGACAAACAAGGTTGTTAAGCTTGAAATATCACTTATATATGATGAAAACGCATTGTCATGATTGGTTGTTTTATTTTTTCTCATTCCTATTTAGCTCGGGGGTGTCCTTACTTTAGTTCATACATTTTGGTCGTTGTGTCATTTTATATGAATATATTTTTTTATGCAAAGTCTTGATTTTTTATTTTTATTTTTCGGTTTTTGTATTGGTGTATGTCAGATTCTTTTATTCAAATGTTGTTATTCACTATTACAACCACCATATATCTTGTAGTGTTTTAACAAATAAACTTACAAATGTTGCTTAGGGGTGAGTTGGATTGTAGTGTTTTTCATATTTTTTACCAATATTAGTTTAGAAGGTTGTGGCAACCCGCATATGGTTATTTTGACTATAAAATATATCCTTAAACGTCTCCTTATTGTGCGGATGGCAAGTTAGTTTTGTAAATAACACATACAAGTCATAAGGAGCACCATTTAGTGCAGTCTTTATTATAGAGGGCGATTAGGATTCTTGTAGAAGATGGATGCAGTATACATGAGTGATTTACCTTAACCCATGGGTGATAGGTTCCACTATAGAGTTCGTCGTTTTCTGTGACCCTCTCAGTGAGTGGTAAGATCATTTTATTTCCAACGTGGTGCATCTCCTATTTGTTACTTACATTTTTTTACTGATCCGTTAAATTAATTTTATCATGAATCCGAAAATAAATTTAATGCATATTTTTAAAAGTATGTTTTAAGGGTCTTGCAATGAGTGCTGGTTTACTTTTTATTGCGATAAGTGGTTTGTTCTTTAGTTTGGTCGAAGATTTCTCGCCCATTAATGAGGCTACGTATCTTTTTATAAGGGACGCCAACCTCGTTTCTTAACTATTATAAATGAAAATTTATTTCCCTCTCTCTTATCCAACAATTTGTATGTTCACACATTTTTTCATATTGTTTTCAATTAAGCTGATGAGCGCAACAAATTGAAAAATTTCACAAACTCAAATTTGATTTTTCCCACGTAAGGAATAACCAACCTCCGTTATGTTGAGTTTAAGAATTGTGATAGTCAAACCTCACATGAAACACATTTTATTGTCCAAGTAAAACCACCCCTCCACAAATGCACGACAATTTAGATCACCAGTAGCAACACTTCTTCAGGCCTATCGATAGCAGAGTCATAGAAGAAGTGAGAAAAACAAGGAAAAATTATCAGTTTGGTGCATAGGCTACCAACTATGTCGTCAGGGCAACTAGGGTTGACATCGGTCATGCCTAGAACAATCGACCGAACAACTGGGTAAGGAAGGTCCTGAACTATATCCTGCAATAACAAATAAAACAGCTATTCGTTAAGGGTCACCTTCAAAATTGTTCACGAAATCATAAATAAATGTAAAATAAAATAAAAAAAAAATATTTGTTTACCCCTATAAGGTAGGCTACCAGAGTGGTGATCGTTCAAGCAAAAGAAATATATAAAACTCGGCTACCGAAGTGGTCCGGGACCACTTGCTA